CTGTTCGTTATCTCCATATTTCATTCCAAAATAGTGAAATTCGTGGCCGCTTAATCAAGGGTTTATGTACTAAAGCGAGGCCTTATTGATTATGTAGTAAGAGTGGATTAACTCTTTTAAATCATCTTCTCTGCTCCTGGGTATTTAACAATATATGTGCAAGGATTTGATAATCAAAGAGGTCTCTTCTAAAATTGTGATATTCATAGCCCCTGGGTCAGGGGTACTGGTATTAGGTAGGGCTCTATCGACTATATAGACTAAGGAAAAAGCATTTATTTAATTCTTTTTAAGTCTTCTTTCTGTTCTTGGGTTTTAGCAAACAAACCGACTTCATGTTTTTGACGAATAAGGATGCCTCTTTCAAAAATGTAAAATTTATACAAGTAGCCCGTGGATTTTGAGTTCTGGTGTTGGGCACACGGCGCTTTTGATCATATAGTGAAAATCCATTAATTCTTTGAAAATCTTCACTGCTCCTGAGCATATAGGAGGCAGAGTTCAAAGATGAGCAAAAGCTTATTCATACCAGGAACGTGGAGACTAGTCCTTAGGATGAGACTGTATAAACCGAGGTCTCATATCGTAGTAGGTGTTGGCATGAAAAAGATCCCTCACTGCTCAATGGCCCTCAGTGCCGAGTATAGGTATAAATTTGCAGCCCTCCACCGGCAGGTGGTGGCGTCTCCATATGAGTGAAAAATTCTCGAGAGGGGCGTTAAACAACAAACAAACAAACCAAATTTATCAAAATTATTACCCCCGAGTCAAGGGTTCTGGTGCTAGACAAAGTTCTATTGATCTTGTGGGTAAATTTTTACTCTATGTTGAGAGAAGAATTAATATCTCATAATAATGTAATTATAGGTCAATTGAATAAAAGAATTATACAGAAAATTTAATGTATTAATAGATTTTAATGATCAGTAAATATGTAAATAATAGATAAATGAAAATGAGACAAAAATACCTTATACTAGTATTACATTAAATGTTATTCAAAGACGAGAGAGGCCAATGTAAGATGGACTAAGCTTGGTTTACTATGTCTACAGTGCTTTAATGGTCAAGCACTATTGTGTTGTTTAGTCTAGTGGTGGTGACAACTGGTTGTTGCTGAGGTTGTTGCTAGACTATTTTGTTGATCCTTGATCATCCTATTTCTATTGTTTTTGGGCAACATATTTTCAGCTATCAGCTTATTTTTTTTTATCGTATACTAGTACCTCTGTGTGCATTACGGGGTTGTTTTATACTCAGATGACCGTTAAGGCCCTTTGGCCTCTTGTTTACCTTAACAATTGCAATATTTATTATCTGAGTATAAACAACCCTGTAATGCACACAGAGGTACTAGTTGACTAGGTACTAAAGATGCTAACAAACTTGGCTATAATATATAATATAAATTATATTTATTATATATTATATATTATAGCCAAGTTTGTTAGCATATTTAGTAAAGCAAATATCCAACAGACTTTATGATCAAGCGTGTATTGGTATTGTGCTGATCACGTGATATCTATATTTCTTCTTCCTTTTTATATTATGAAAAATAAATCTGGTTTCATTTAAGTTTTGAGCTTCTTTTGAGTTCTGTACGTACGATTCAATCAAGAATGTTCATACGAAAGCTCTAGCTAAGATATTTGAAGTACATTCACTTTAGCATTTAGATTATTAACTCAGGAGGATTATAGAATCATACAAGATTTAACCCTCTTTGCTAAAGACAAGGCTATGAAAAATTCAACGAACATAATATGTATGCATTATCATGTAAAATATTCAACAAATAGACCCTATTATGGAATTCGAATAGGACCACTTAATTGTTCCCTATCGCACTATCGAGCATCGACTGTTGGGTCGTTGGCGCGATGACGTGAAGGTGCGATAACAATGAAGCAATGGCGATGGTGCGAAAGAAAGATGAAGCGATAATGAGTATCGCTTCTTCGTCAACGTACCTTTGCTCCATCGTCATGACACTGTCGCGTCATCCCTATCGTGCCATCGCGTAATCGTGCTATCGTACCATCGTCATCGCATTATCACAGTATTGCATCATCATCATCGTGCTATCGCACCATCGCTTCATCGTCATTGCATTGTCGCGCCATCGTATCATCATCGTGCTATCGCACCATTGCTTCATCGCCATTGCACTATTGACCCAAACCTCGATGGTGCCATGATGCTATAGTGAACTACATGGCCCTATCCATAGGAAATTGACGATTTTTTTAAAAAATTCAAATCATAATTTCTCATGCACCGGTATGAAAATTGATCAAGTCAATCATATCAAATATATGGTCGTCAACAATTGAAAATTTTAGTAATGTCTAGGAAAATTGAATTTTAATAATATATACAGGGCCAAAACAAGGGCCTCTTCTGAACCTTGCTCTTTGAATTTCGGACTGAGAAGATCAAAGATGGAGTCTAAACTACTGTAAATCGGGTCAGAATGGTTTTCATAATTGGTGGGGGGTAGTCTAAATCGTTCAAATTCAATTATGTTGTGCCAAATTTAAGCCATAAAAAACGTCCACTATTTTTCAGATTTGTGATTTAAGTATTGCTTTTTTAACAAGTTTCCTAAACAAACGAAAAAAAAGTCGAGGTACCTTCCCAGGGATTTGTGCAAGATACGAGAGGGTAATATTTCCTTTATAATTGGATATCATTTCAATTGCTGATATCACAATTTTTGCCCTGGTATCTATATCTTTTAAGACATTTTGAAAACAGTTTAGAAATCACAAGGTAATGATAATTGGAAATATTGTTGGTATACTACAAAAGGTACAAAATCAGATATTCGAGGGACGTATCATCATACATGTAGATCTTAATTTAATTTATTTTTTTTGAAATAAAACACTCTTAAAAACATTGTTTTTTTGTGACAAGAAAATTTAAGGATGGCACAATTTAACTGAAGTTTGACGAAATGCGGAAATAGGGGGCGTACGTTTTATCCATTTGAAAGTTCGTATTTAATAACATACATGTATAGGAAACAAATTTTCACTTCAATCTGCGGGTAATTTTTCAGTTCGACTGTAAAATCAAAAGGTTAACCAATTTGCCAAATTGAGAGCCTTTTAGTCGCCGTGTTCTTGATTACTAACTAGTATATTTCAATTATAGTCTCCGCGCTCTTCGGCAATGAGAAAATCACAGGCAGTTATAATAAGAAATTACGGTCATGAAATAACAATACTATAATGTAGCTAGCATTTGTTACGTTAATGGCAGGAATGAAAATGTTAAAGCGGACAATTAATTTCTGTAATGCGGCTAATTGACATATTTATTATATGTGTTAATTTTAGCCCATGGATGTCGTATACAAATATCAGCTGAGACAGGATATTCCATGCACATTTTCTGCAGCAAAGGTAGACGATTGTTTAAATATTTTTTTAATACATGTGGATGTCACTTTCACGAAGACAAATAGAGAAATTTAAAAATATATGTACCACGAATTCTGAAATAAATAAATAGCCCCCCCCCCCCACTGCCATCCCCACCCAGCATCTAAATTATAAAGACAATATATGATGATTATTGTTGCAGGTACACGTATCTTGAAAATAATAATTTGTCTACTGATTAAGAATAACAATATACATGCCGTAATAAATAATTACTATATCCTTCAACTTAATGTTATATAAACAATATTTATTCATAGAAATGAGAAGGATGGCACGTACAACTTGCAAATCCCCTCTCCATACAAAACTTATCATACTGAGTAAATAAGCTGAAAAAAGCCTCAAAATTAGGGGAAAAAAGGAGAGAAAAAAAAAACAAGCAATGAAAACTTAAATAGATCCTTCAAATTTTAAGATAATAGCATACACAAAATTGCAATTATTCATATCTTATGTCGAAATAAAGCAATTTTTTTTTAAATTGTTCAGGAATGTCCTTCTTTATCTGATTTTTTTTTTAAATAATTTTTTGATAAATCTCTGATTATGGCAACGATATCTTTCTAAATAATTTATCTATTTATTTTATTTTTTATTTATTTTTTATTTATTTATTTATATTTTGGTTTGAGAACTGAGTGAACTTTATTTAAAATAAATGTTTATATTTCGACTAAATACATTTATCTTTAACAGTTTAAAAAAAAATAGATATAATCTAATCACGTGTAAATAAAATTTATAAGGTGATGCACAAAATTTTGTATTAAAGATATAAATTAAATTATCTTACATAATGACATAAATAAACATTTAATCAATTTTGTTTTTGTTATTATTACTTTTTCCTTAGAAACAAAACTATATAATGGTTGCAACATTTTTTTCGCTTTTAAAATATTTATGGCATTCAGAATTGGAGTCTGGAAAAAAAATTCCATTGTTCTGACTAGTAAAAATAAAAATGACAATAATTGAACAAATTGCCTCTTATCCATGATTCATAGCCGATTTGAATGCATGCAAAGGTTTATTAAAACGATTAAAGCAAATGCAAAACTGTAATTTTCAAAGCAAACGACGAGAAATATAATATTCCCTCATTGACACAAATTATGTATCTTTATATAGCTTTGACTATTGTTGCTTAAAATGACACTGAACATTATTTGGCGTCCAGAGCCAATTGTCCTAATATGTACGTCATTTCATAGAAAATTGCTGACCACTATATGGCTATTAACCAGAGGACGCGTCGTGATGCGTGACATGAAAGGTTAAAGGTTACAGTTGATTGGCAGTGGTACAATAGAGCGAGTCTGAAACCAATATTGCTGATAGAAATCAAATTCTGGGGTTTCTAAGAGTTGACAATTAAAAATCCCGTGGACGAAATTACTAGGAATGTTTTTACTTCTAATACTTTGTTTCAGATAAAGATTGAAAAATTACCAACACTGCTTGATTGGGCGCGCGTAATTTTCCCGCAGAAATTTGACACGCGCACTAGGGTGTCGTGTACGCGATGCACAGCTGCACGTGCGCACAGGTTAAAACTAAGTGACGTTTCATGCATTAAGGGGTCATCGGTAGTATGCAATAATCCACGGTGACAACACATCCGGGAGGAATTATACGGGTAGTGCTATGGCCGAACTGTTGCCGAGTGCTGCTGATTAGCAAGAGGGGAGGACAAAAATGACAGTCCTCTGATGATAAAATTAATAGTCCCACTCACAACCAATTATTCCCTCGTGTAAGCAACTTATTGCATGATGTGGCCGTTAGAATAATTAATTTAACTTCCCAATAATTTGTCAATTATATCTCGTAAACGCTCACATAAATTTAGTTATGACTGGCAAATCTCGACAAAATTGAGCTTTGATATAGCTAGATAACCAAACGGAAAGTTTTCAGTCACATAGGGAATTCGGAATACTCAAAGGATAAAGTTTGGATCATGAAGACAACCGCAGGTCTAAGTAAGTGCTTTTTTTCTCCCTCTTTCTTCTCTCACACATAATTAGATATATAAAGCGATGCAATAAGTTATCCAAATATCATCACAACCTTGCGTTCAAATTGCCAATTTGTATAAACTGTGGAGTAATTAAATGAATATACTATTATAGACTCTTGTCACACTTGTACATTTCTCTGTTGTTGACTTACAGATTTTCACAGTTTCGGCAAAATGCAGAATTTTTCCTCGATCCACCAACAGGGGGGATCATCAGAGGATATATCTAAACCCAAAAAACCAAGACACAGGTAAACGTCTTATTTTATATTATATTAAATTTCAAATTCTTCAAAATATGGTGAACACACGTGATTTATGAGTTAAGTATTATTTGAGGAAAGGGGCGTGTTTATTCATTTATCTTTGAAAAATGTTACCGCATATAGTACATATAGTACAAATTGTGAAAGGAAACATATTATTTACAATGCCTATAAAGATTTTGAAAAAAAAAAATAGGAAAATTGTTGGGGGAAAATGAAAAAAATTGTTATATATGTAAAACCTATAACTGATATTCTTTCTTTGGTTTGATTAATATATTGATATCATCACTTGCAAGTTGAGAAAATTAACTCTAAGCCTCAAAACGCACGACAGTGTAGAAAGCGTTAAATATAGAATATCAGCTGGATTCACCAAGTGCAAGCTCATACTTCCGCCAGCCTGAGTTTATCTCAATATTCCAATACCCCAGGAATTCCTTTTGCTTAAAAAACACATTTTTTCCATAAAATCTGATTGCAAATTAAAATGTGCAGTAAAACATTTTGATATGCATGCATCTTGCGGAGAGTTGGAAGAAGGGGAAAAAATTCAAACAAAATCCCATATTTAACCGGATCTCCCCCAGAACCAAATTTAAGAAAAAACAAACAAACAAAATTCCATATTTAACCGGATCTCCCCCAGAACCTAATTAACACCCTGATACATGTATCCTCTTTTTTTTTTTTTAAATCCTATATATTCCCATTTAAAATTTTGAGCAATGATCTGAAGACGAAAAATATGAAACTGTAGATATCCTCTGTAGATACTTGCATATTAATATGAGTAAATTGTTGAACTTAGGAACATGTTTTAAAGGGTTTTTTTTCTATATAATCCCAGTGAATATTCGATCTCTAACTGCCCCACCTAGACCATGCTGGGGCAATGGATAAAATAAATTTGAATCTGAATTATCTGGGAACGTTTGCATAATAATATGATTTATATGTTGGTCCTGTTGTTCTTGAAAAGATTTTTGGGAACGTTTCCCCTTTATATTCCTATGTAAAACGTTGATCCTCTTATTAACGTATCAATATATGCGAACGTCTTTAGGTAGCAACGATTCAAGTTTTTCAAATCGTGGCCCCCCTGAGGGTAGGATGGGACCACAACAGAATATGAAAGTTTTGCTTGGAAATGTATGGAGAAAAAATCTTAAAATCTTTTAAGAATGATCGACAGAACCATGATTAGGGATATGAATATTCAAAATCCCCAAATAATACATATTCAAGTGTTTTTTAAAACCATGCATGACTCCGCAGTTTAGGTGGGGCCCCGATAAGGGGTCACATAGGGAAAAATTAATTAATTAAAATTTATTTAATCAATCCGTCTTCTAAAATAGAGGTACTGTGAGCACTGAGCTCACAAAATAATACCCCCGCTCCCATACGAGTATAATGGCAAAGTCCATTTGTTGCTATGGGAAAGGCCAAATATCTGTCTGATCAAAACATAATGTAGGAGATGCACAATGGCAATATGTAATAAAGATTCTGTGAAAGTATCATTAAATTTTATTCAGTGGTTTTGGAGGAGTTGCGGATAAAAAGTGGGTGCCCTGATATTACACAAAGAATGTCTGTGTCCATGTTTTGCTATGGGAAACCTAAAATATGTGTCCAATCAAAAAAGTAAAATAGGAGGTGCACAATGGCACTGTGAAATAAAGATGCTGTGAAAGTATCATTTAATTTTATTCAGTGGTATAGGAGGAGTTGCAGATATGAGATGGGTACCCCGATTTTGTAAAAAGAATGGCAATGTACATGTTTTGCTACGAGAAACCTGAAATATGTCCGATTAAAAAGTAAAATAGGAGGTCACAATGGCACGATGTAATAAAGATTCTATGAAAGAACATGTGTATCATTACATTTTATTCAGTTATGTAAGAGTTGAGTACCTCAAAGCGTAACGGACGGACGGACGGACATCCTCATCACTGTACAACCCCTGCTTTTCAAGGAGTCTGATTAAAATCAAACCTTTACTAGCTCCTAACTGCTTTTCAAGCTGGGGGTATAAAAACAGCAGCGTGCACAACAATTACTCCTTTTGATATGCAAGCATCCCTATATATAGTACACATTGGTCGCTATATACAGTAGCCTAGTGGTTGGGTCACAGGCACTTGTTTCGTAAAATGGGCACCCCAACTTACGGTAAAAATAAGTAGGGGGTGCCCTGTATATACGAAACAATTAAGTGCCTGTGGGTTGAGTGCTCGCTTCATGTCTGGGAGGTTCGGCTTTGATTTTCCTTCCTGGCATCTCATTAAACCAAGAACATTTAACGTAAGTGGGGATTGTTCTTTAGCCAAGCTCCCAACATTAGAAGTTAAATTCACGGGTCTTCCAGATATGATCTTAAAAACGAAGGCCCTGTGTCAAGATGATAAAGAACCCTCACTGCTAAGTCCAAAGCTGGTACTCACTGTACATGAGTAAAAAAAAAATCTCACATTGGACGTTATACAGCTAATAATCAATCAATAAATATAATGTAGATTCATGAATGATTTGTTAAAATCATTGTCCGGGTGGCTAGGGTTAGAATAAATTTTGGAATTATATAGGAAACTTAAAAGAGTTCAAGAATAGCAGGGTGACTCTAATCAAATTGATATGCCAAAATTCCCACGTGCTTTCAACATGTTCAAGAGCATGTATGACGGTTCAAACCATGGATATTAAGTTTGGGACGGGGCTAAAACAACGTCAAGGGATAAAATTTACATGTACATGTATAAATGGACAAATCTTCAGAACAGCAAGCTCATTTTTTATATTGACTAGAAGATAATGGCCACCTACCGGTAATTGTCCCCCACTTTCGCGAAAGCGAGGGGACATTAAAACTCACTCGTCTGTCAGTCTCAAAAACTTTAACCTTGGTCATAAGTTAACATTTGAATGAGAAAATAAAGAGCTTTCATATTTCACATGTACATTAACTGTGACAAGACCTTTCCAAATATTCAATGACTATGATTTTTGACCCCGTGACCTTGAAGTTTGACCTACTTTTAAAAAATTTTAATATTAGTTTCACCTTCACTTGGTCATAACTTTTGATTGAGAAGAGATAAGGCTTTAATATTTCAATTGTACATTACCTTTGACAAGACCTTTCCAAATATACTATGATTTTTGACCCCGTGACCTTGAAGTTTGACCTAATTTTCAAAAATTTTCACATTAGTAATAACATTTGAATGAATCAAGATAGGGCGTTTATATTTGACAAGTGCATTACCTGTGTCAAATATTTCCAATTGTACTATAATATTTGACCCCGTGACCTTGACCTTAAAGTTTGACCTAATTTTCAAAAATTGTAATATTGATGCTAACTTTTGAAGGAGAGAAGATAGAGTATTCATATTTAACTTGTGCATTACCCGTGACAAGACCTTTCCAAATGTTTTATGATTTTTAACCCCTTTACCTTGACGTTTGACCTGATTTTCTAAAATTTTAACATTGCTGATATCTTTTGAATGAGAGAATATAGGGCATTTATAATTCATGTGCATTACCTGTTTCAAAATCTTTCCGAATGTACTCTGGTTTTTGACTTCGTGACCCTGACCTTTAAGTTTAAACTGCAGTCTTTTTCATTTTTTACATGGTAAGAAGTTTTGAATGAGAGAAGATAGGGCTTTCATATTTTATATGTAGATTACCTATGACAACACCTCTTAGAAAGGTGTATCAATTTTTGACTTCATGACCTTGATCTATAAGTTTGAAAGATACACAAACAAAACAGTAAAATTATGCCATAAAATTGAAAGCAAAACCACTAACACACCGAAAGCCGGGGACTACAATTCTTTTAATTTGCTTGTTAACAACTAAACTGTATAATGACAAACGAGATGACCCCAGCATTTCATCGTCAGAGCCTTCCTTATTTGTATAGTAATATTCCCTGAAATTTCCAGGGGTCCATGTTTTATGCCCTGTTCACAGATTTGTATTGTTTGTAGGCTTTTTTTTTTTTATAGATTGACCAGTGTTCGTTATCTTCACCTACATATATTTTATTATGGTAAGATACTGATATTCAGAATGTAGTGTGGTTTCAAGTTTGTTAACTCGTGACTCATTTAGGGTTGCATTGGGCAATAATATCGGGGCAAAATATAGAGAAAAAAATCTAAGAGCAACACGACCATGATGAATCAGGTGATCACTGTCCTTGGGCATTTTTTTCATTATACATTTGCTCAGTGCACATGATTCCTGAGAAGAAAATGCACATATTTTTAGCTCATTTGAGCCGAAGCCGAAGGGTCATAATTTGAACAAACCTTAATCTACACTACCTTTCTTTGGTCGCCCATAGGAAAAAAATCTTCTTCTCAAGAACAGCAAAGCCATTATTAGTCATATTAAAATAGAAACATCCTCAGGTAGTGTAAGATTCAAATGTCACCAGCTAGGGGTAAGGCCAAATTGGGCGATCAAGGTTTTACAAAGGAATACATGAGGGATATCTTTAAAAATCTTTTTTTCAAGAACAGCAAAGTCATGATTAGTCATATTTACACGGAAGCATCTTCGGGTAGTGTAGATTCAGGTTTATTCAAATCATGACCCCGGGGATAAGGAGGGGCCGCAATGGGCGATCAAGGTTTAACAAAGGAATACATACAGAATCTTCACAAGAAAAGCAAAGCCATGATTAGTTATATATATATTGATTCAGGTTTGTTCAAATCATGACCCCCGGGGGTAGGGAGGGCCAACAATGGGTGATCAAACTTTAACATAGGAATATTTGGGGGAAATCTATAAGAATGTTCTTTTCAAGAACAGCAAAGCCATGATTAGTCATATTAAATAGAAGCATCCTCAGGTACTGTAGATTCAAATGTCCCCAGGGGTAGGGCAGGGCCACTATAGAAGATCAAACGTACAGAAAAAATCTTGAAAAATTAACTAAAGCCATGATTTGTCAAATTTTTTTCCTATCCAAAGTGCTCAGGTGAACGTTGTGACCACTGGGCCTTTTGTTTCTATTTCTCGATCATCTGAAAGCGTTATGCATATAGACTCCAAATAATACGAGAAGAAATATATATATTTTTACTCGCAACAATCTCTATTATGTCGACATTAAGCTTCACTGTTTGCCAAGTGTTAAAATTTTTAGAACTTCGATTCGGTTTGAATGATTAATTAGTTAATTTTTTTTTACATCGAACTGTGTTTTTTATTCCACATTGAGGCATATAAATTCAATAGGGATCGCCCGTTAACTCTTAACTGAATCCGCCAGGCAAGGGGGGGGGGGAGTCCCCCTTAACATTTTACCACTATGCTGCAATAAAGAATAGACAGAAGGTCCATAGGCAACAACATTCGCCTGAGTCACTTAGGCCCTTCTGTTCTTCATCAGTAGATTTTCCCATACATATTTCTATGAAAAAAATTGGTCACCCAATGTGGTCCCTCTTTCCCCCCCAGGGACCATGATTTGAACAAACTTGAACTTCACTACACGTACCATGCAAACAAGGATGTTTCCATATGAATATGATTGTTTCTGAATTTGCTGTTCTTGATAAGGAGACTAAAAACCATTCATAACTTATTGTTGTTCGCCCTCAATAATAAAGTTTTATGACTTTTTTTTTGCTTGACAGGGAATTTCTGTAAGGTTGTGTCCCCTCAAACTGAAATCACTTCCTTTGTGTCTGTTCTAAGTCTTAGATGTATAATTACTCTACAGACTACATTAACATTCTTTTACCACTCGTTGTAGAACAACGTTTTCGCCTTTTCAATTGAAAGAAATGGAGAAAGCATTTAGGAAAGCACCTTATCCTGACGTCATGACCCGGGAGGAACTGGCTAGGCGATTGGGTTTGAACGAGTCACGTGTCCAGGTATTTTAAACTGATAGCTAATGTCTTTCAAATTAGGGTCAAAAGTCTTGTAATTACATGGTCTTAATCAGAGGATGATTCTTTTCAGATCTGGTTTCAAAACAGACGGGCAAAGTGGCGAAAAGGATATTCTCCCAAACTGGACATCAGTTCAAAATGTGAGTTCAATTCATGATTTGCAAAAAAAAAAAAAAAAAAAAAAAAAAAAAAAATTCTTGTTTTATTACATTTGTTTCCCTTTTGTCTATATTTGAATTTTTATAAATTTTAGCAAATGAAAACGAACAGAAAGAGGACCCTAAACCACCATTACCACCTCCAACCACAAAAGAGTCTACAGAACCTAAGACCGTCTCCTGGCAACCATGGCCCGTTCTGACTGAATATTCTCCCTATCCTTCTACTTGGATGGGATTTGCAAGTCATACACACAATCCCATTCTGTTTAGTCAACAGTCGCTATTTTATCCCAGAGAAGTCGGTAGTTCTAGACAATCCGATCTAAACGTGCCATTAAATCTTGTTCAGAGGGAGTACAGTTATGGTGAAAATGTTTTTGATATGTCGAAATTTTTGCCCAAAGAGAAGGAATGACATGCAACCCACGAGACACTGCATAAATTATACTTAACTCTCAAACTAGTGATTAGGAAATATGAGTTCTTTGAATTTTTTTCCTTTCAATTTTATTCTTGAGATTTTTTTTCTTTGCATTCCCTGTGAAGTCTTTTTCGCTCCCATCGTGCATCCTACATACTATTAGTAGAAGACCTGTAGTTCTAATATGACAGTTGAACTACTAGTTGTTGCATCGTAGTGTATGCAACATAGTTTTAAAAATGTGTCGAGTTTCAGAACACAAAATAATAAGCCAAATTTGGCAAATGAATAAATTTAGAATATACAAATTATGTTATAAATTTAAATGTAATCTTGATTGCTATTTTAGCTAGTTAATTTTTTTGTGCCTTTCTGTAAATAGTTACGTTCTTCAGTATTTTTACGGTTAATATTTGGAGCTTATTATACATGTAAACTGCTATATCTGTGCTGGGCCGTGCAATTGTACAGCAGTGCTACCTTCATATATACTGTACATTTTTAAGTACTTGAATTCGGACAACAATTATAATAGGCTACTGTTAAACTTTTTTAAAGCAATATATTTCTAGCTTTTTAATGTTTTATATTAGTTATTTAAGTGGTACATGCCTATTTTAAAATAATAAATACAAGGTTCTGCATTGCAATTCATTCGTTTAATAATACAAGTATAGGGCATTTTACATGACCTTTTGGGTTAATTTCAAGTTAAAAAAAAGAGTTAAAGATTTCCATTTTAAAACATTAGATACACAGGGTTTTTAAAGTATTTATGATATACATACACAATTTGTTGGATTTCAGGTAACGTTGAGATATAACAAGCAGAAATACACGATGCCTTGTACGATTAGTGGAGTAACACTGTACGTCCAAGACAAAATGTACATGTAGTTACGATATCGACTGGTTATTTTGTTTAAAGATTGCTACATTATTTTTATATAGTTTTTTAGCTCACCTGAGCCGAAGGCTCAAGTGAGCTTTTCTGATCAAAATTTGTCCGTTGTCTGTCGTTGTCGTCGTCGGTGTAAACTTTTCACAGTTTCATCTTCTTCTCCAGAACTACTGGGTCAATTTCAACCAAACTTGCCACAAAGTATCCTTATGTGAAGGGAATTCAAGTTTGTTCAAATGAAGGGCCACACCCTCTTTCAAGGGGAGATAATAAAGAATTAGTAAAAATTAATAGCATCTTTTAAAAATCTTCTTCTCAAGAACCACAGGGCCAGGAAAGCTGAAACTCATGTGGAAGCATCCGCAAGTAGTGTAGATTCAAGTTTGTTCAAATCGTGACCCCCGGGGATAGGGCGGGGCCACAATGGAGGATCAAAGTTTTACATATGAATATATATAGCAAAAACCTTTTAAAATCTTCTTCTCAGGAACAGCAAAGCCATGAGGAGTCATATTTATATGGAAGCATTCTCAGGTAGTGTAGATTCAAGTTTGTTCAAATCATGACCCCCAGGGGTAGGGCGGGGCCACAATGGAGGTTTAAAGTTTTACATAGAAATATATAGCAAAAACCTTTAAAAGTCTTCTTCTCAGGAACAGCAAAACCATGATGAGTCATATTTATATGGAAGCATCCTCAGGTAGTGTAGATTCAAATTTATTCAAATCATGACCCCCGGGGGTAGGGTGGGGCCACAATGGAGGATCAAAATTTACATAGAAATATACAGGGAAAATTTTAAAAATCTTCTTCTCAGAAACAGCAAAGCCTTGATTTATCATATTTATGTGGAAGCATCCTCAGGTAGTGTAGAACGATGTGAACGATGACCCCTGGGATAGGGAGAAGCCACAATGGTGGATCAAATTTTTACAAAGGAATATATGGAATTTTTTTTTTTAAATCTTCTCAAGTACAACAAAGCCATTTGTCATATTGACATGGAAGCATCATCAGGTAGTTAAAAATTCAAGTCCACGATATCGTGTCAATATCGAATCATATTTGTACAATTGATCATGGTTTCACCCCCACCCACCCCCCAAAAACAGTATTTTTAAACATATGAGTAACTTGAATACCATCACTTTCTGAAGTTTTCTTTATATTGTCGATATCGACGATATCGCTTCGATATTAAATCATGTTTGCTCATCCCTTGGTGATGACCTTGTCATTGAATATGGGTGTCTCTGTTAAAATACTTTACACTGACGGAGATTGTATTTGGCATCGATATCGTCCATATCGACAATATCGTTTCGATATCAAATCATTTTTGTCATCGCTCTTGTGGTTGTATTTCTTTATGCAAGACTCATGTATATGAACTTTCTGAGTATTAAGTCTGCCCTGCTGTCGATATCATGATTGTTCAAGACGTGTTTTTTTTACCAACCTTCACCCTAACCTTAACCTAAAATTTACCCTAACCCCTGACAATTACAACCACTAACCCTCTAATTATTTAAATATTCAAGTCAAAAATGTACCAATATCGACATTGCGTGTAGTCTTATATAATTATCTTATACATTCACCTGAAATTAAATTTTACAGAATAGGATTAATATCAATATGATATCGTCATGATATTGTCGATATCGACGATCTCAACAAGCTAAGGCGCTCGGTTTTATATATGATATCCAGTAATTCCAATTTCATAGTACATATTTGGATAGATATCAATATGATATCGACATCAAATTCGTTCTTGGACATGTTTGGATTAGTGATAAGCAGATCACCCTGCCTGACTAAATCTGTCTTCATTTTATGACAATACTTTGCGTGATGATTAAAGGGAACTCTTAAACAAAACTCAATTTGTGAGATTATTTTTTATTGCATTAATTTTCTCTGAAAAGTTCAGATATAGAGGACAATGCTGATTTAGAGGACAATGCATTACATTCAGATACATATTTTTATGTGAGGAACTTCAATGAGGTTTCACAATAAGTATTTTGTGACATAATACTGAATCTAAATATTCCACAGAAAATTAAACCTTAAAATGAAGTCTGACAGAGATTTGTGACATGAAAAAAAATTATGAAATACAATAGATATATAACAAATTCTGACAATGACCTAGAGATTCCTATTTTAAAATAATTCTTACAAAGATAAAAATAGACAATGAATAAATCTCAATGTAATATCTTCTAAAAGCAGATCTGGTGTAAATGTGATTTACTCCTTATCACAGTCTATGCAAGTACCACATAATGGTCAATCTTTGTGGTTGTTTTGGCAAAATTTTGCATGTTAATCAAAATCAAAATAAATTAATTTACTAAAATTTACCATATATAAGATAATAACTGAAATATCTAAGAATATTAATTTTTTTAAGTATTTCAATTTCTATCTTACATTAGCAAATTCAATAAAATACTGAATATTGAAAAATTCAAATTAGTCCTCTGAAGGATCAAAAGAAAAAAAAAAAGAACCACAGATATGAACTGGTTTACTGTTCATGTATACAACATATTTTTTAAACCTGTATACAAAGAATCATTTCTGATTTGAGGGGGAAAAAAACAGGATGACAGCTGACCATCAATCAATGTAAATCCTCTACAAAACTCCAAATGCTTTGTGTTGGCAGAGTCAAATACTGCAGGTTTGTGTGTCTAAAATATTCATCTAAAACAAGGTGCTTTTACTAATAATTGAGACAAAATGCCAATCCCAGTCTAAAACTTAGAGTAGCTGAACTGTTGAAATAAGTACTTAAAAGTACAGTATGTGTATCAAGCAAAGAGGCACAATACTAAATTCAAAATACGTATTACCTATATTACAGTTCTAAAACCAATATCTCAACAAAATTAAAAAATTTAGATCACATTTACAAATTTTATGAGCTTTAAATTAATAAAAAGATACATTTAGAGGTGAATCTGTCATCTATAAATTATATGAATATGTTTATTATCACAATAACATATTGAATTCCAACTTGAAATTTCTCCCAAAGTACAGACAGTATTTAATTTTTCATGACTCCACAATACTTGCTTGCATTAAAATTAAAGACAGTGAAAATCCGAATAAATACCACATAAAATTTAGGTACATATTTGATTTCTTTTACCCATCTAACAATACATATCTAATGTACTACATATACACTCAATAGAGTAACAACATGTATATCCTAATACCATACCTATTCATCATAATACAGCAATGTTTAAACTACAACCACAGATTTTCACATGCACCTTTTAAAAGTTTTATCAGTACATACATATTCAAAGACAGGAAATCTTTGAGCAACAGTAGTATCACTTGAAACACATAATACAATATAAAATTAATTCAATACATGTACATTGTACATTTCCTACCTCAAACTACTTAGTTACTGTGAATACCTCACATTTCAATGTGAGGACAATGAAAGACTAGTGGTTCAGTGACATCAGAAAGGTCGGTAGGTCTTGGGATACCTGAAGTGTAGCCAGTTTTCCTGGTGTATAACACAATGGTCCCAGCCTAACTCCTTGAACATCTAAAGGAAGAAATACTATCTTCAAGCAAATGACAGTTTAATAAAGCAGCTAGAAAATACATTTATCATTCTAATTAACTAAATTAACAATTAAAGTTTTAAGGTTTGATGACTCTTAAATTTGTTGCTAGTGTAGGTTTTCTTTTAATTTATGTGTACATGCATGTATGTAATATGTGTTTTCAAAAGTAAAGTGAGGGGGAGTGTATGTGTCTTCATATATTTTATTTGCACAACTAAACATGCTTATTTTGTAATATAAATGAAGTTTATTAGCTTGACTTGTATCAAAGAAACCCTAAGAAATTAGGGTTATTAGAAATTAGAAATTATAATTTTCTTACTTTGACCATTGTGACTTCAATTTCCTGAGTTGGTTTCTCCTCATAACTCTTCTGCAGAATTTTCAGAGCCCGTCCATAATGCTTCATGTGTTGAGCATACATCATTGTGAAATAAGACACCTAAAACCAAGATAAGAAAGAATTACAAATTTTCAAATACTGAACTGAAATAAAAAATATATACACAAGTGCAGAGGATGTACTGTATAAGCAGAAATTTTAGCGAGGATTCAATTTTGGCATTTTTAGCGAGGGTGTTGAGATCGCTAAAATTAAATATAACAATTTATTCCCACTTTATATGTTATACTGTTATCTTTCAAGGCATCACAAAATCCCTAAAATTACTTCTTGCTAAAATTAAATACCAATTTTTTTTAAGGAAAAATCACTACATTTGCAACTTGCTAAAAATTCCACTTATACGGTAATACCAAATTCATAATACATGTACTTTCTTTCATAAAAACATTTTTATCATTACCAGGTGAACTTTTTTAGTATAAAAACTAGATTCTAGTACAATTCACCTGTAGGTATGGAAATTATGTCCAGTATATATATAGCCAGAAATACCTTGGAATCATTGAGATCTATCCACTGCTGTAAGTTCTGATAAGTCTCCTTCATGTCTTCAGTGGTCACACTGGGCAGTCCCTCAGTGTCCCCCTCCTCTTTAGCCTTTTCCTCCAGGACACTGACCTGGGCTTTACCTAATCTAAAGTAGCTGTCAATCAGCATTTCTTTTACCTTGTCTTTCTCACTGGAATGGAAGTACATTCATCTCTTATTCATGTACACATGGACAAAATATAAGTATGCGTCCTCTGCTTACACTCAGAGAAAAATTCATTCACTTTGCTATAAAGAAATATCATAAAAAAAAACTACACACTTTCAGTTATATCAATTATTACCAAGACAAACTGAGAAAAAAGTTAGTACATGACATTTGAGAAATTCTGCAGTACAAAAGACATTTTACTCAATGTACATGTAATAAATCCAAGGATTAAGTCAGGTACACACCCTTTGATTGTAGCTGCCTCTGGTCTTGGGTCTGACTTCATACCATAGTAACTTAGCAGTTCCTTTTGATCAATTTTGGAAATGATGAATTTACTCAGGTCAATAATTTCACCCAGATACTTTTTCCTATCCTAGATGAAAAATGCAATATACAGTAAGTATAACTCAGTTAACTCACTTAATAATGAAGAACCTAGAATGATCCTGACAGTCATATCTAAATTAAATTATTTTGGCAAAAGATACATGTATGAGGCAGTACCTTGTGGTTGTCTAGACTCTGTAGTCTGGCAGTAAACACTGGTAAGTGATCAGGGTGTTGACTCCTTAACTCATCAAACAAGGAATGATCTGGTTCTAATCTACAAATACATAGATATCATTTAAATAAAAAAAACATTCAGTGCATCAGATGCAATCAAAGGCAAAAAAACTATTCCCCAATTTTCTAATTTTTCTTTTCTTTTTCTTTTTTTTTTTTTTTTTTGCATTCCCCTCCCCCTCCACCCCTCCTTAAAATTCCACTGAATCTATTTTTAATTTTCAGGATGGAAAATTTTGTCTAAGAGAGGAGTTTAAACATATTTCATTGGGTATCAAAATAAATATTAATTAAATAGAATTACTTTGAGATCCATGAGATTTGTAGGTCCCTGAGTGACTCTTTGTATTCTTCTTCTTTTGTTTTCTCCTTCTTTTCACTTTCTTTCTCTCCTTTGTCTTTGCCTGCCTTCTTCTCTTTCTTAGGGTTATCTTTCTTGGCTATTTCAGTGATCACATATTTAAAAGGTACACTACTCTGTAAAACATACAAAAACTATTCATCAACAGATTGTAAGAAATCCACTGTCATTTCATTTGAGTGTATAATGTACATATATCTGCAGCAAACAAACCATGTTTAAATTTTGAAACATTGATAGTTGCTATTCCAACTGAACTATATGCGGTGATTAAATATGACCATCAAGCTGTTTTTTCCCTAATTGTTTTCATTCTTATAATGCAGATATCACTCTTAATTTCTGTACATGTTTTATGTGAAAAGAAAAGAGAGAGAGAGAGAACAAAGTCTAAGACATGAGCAAACATGTTTAACAAAATAGACTGGACAGGTGATCCAAAGTGACATCAATTAGTTAAATTACAATGTTCTAATAATTAACCCACGTTTAAATTTATCTGGCCACTGAGTAAATTTCTTGGAACTGCATCAGGAGACTTAATAATTTACTGTAAACCTTCAACACGTTCAAACTGGCTCACTTATATCAATTTTAGTAATGCAAACTTCATACTGTTTTAGTAATGCAAACTACATACTGTTTCAGTAAGAGGTTCACTCTTCAACAGAGTCAGTGTCCCCAGTAATATCTGTCCTGGTTTGGCATTTTTAGGAATTCTGCAAAAAAAAAAAAAAAAAAAAAAAATCATATAATTTTTTTCTTTTTTTTCTTTTTTGAAAAAGAAATAACTCACTACCATTAATTAAATAAATTGTTACAACACCAATGGTTTCAAGGTACAGGAGGTTAAACCTTTACCAGACAGGACCAATATTTGACATTCTTGCATTTTCTAAACTAAACAACAAATATCTAAATACATGTACATGTTGCTGAAGCAACTTCCTTACAGGGATGGGCACGATTACTGAAAGATGTAATCGATTACACTCATTTTTGTCCTGTAATCGATTACTTTGGAAGATGTAATCGATTAATAATCGATTACTTCCAAGTTTTATCCCTTCAAATATCAAAGCAATATTTAAATGGTAAATGTTGATGTTATCCACTGAAGTTTGAATGTGTTCCTGCAGTTTCAGTGCAGATTCTTTTAAGGTTTTATTCTGGCTAACATTCTAACTATATGCCCAAATGAGGGATTCTCTACCATGGAAAGTGGAGACATGATTCCTACAATAAAATTTGCCAAGGAATTAATTATTCCTTTCAATCTTGGATCTGAACCTCCATATTCAGATTTGACTTGTTGCAAAAAGTATTTAATATTTTATTGTGAATTACTTCATTAGAAGTATTTGGGTTGCACGTATGTTGACAGTACACATTCCTGTACGTGTGTTTTTTTTTGTTTTTTGTTTTAAGTAAATTAGAACTCTTAGTAATAAACATGTAAATTAAATGTGTCTTTAAGTAATTCAACTAATAGCACAATTTCATTCTGTATTGAAATAAGTGTTTTGAGAGCTATTAATTGTTTTAATAATACTGTTTGTCTTCAATGGAATGAAAGTTAAACACTAGGTAGTTCACAGTTTACACCTCATTATCTGCAAATCAGAGATGTCTCGGTCAATTCATTAGCCAATTAAGATAATCAAACACAGTGACACACTCCCTCTCTTACAGACACTTATAACCCCTCACTGATATAAAAGCAACCTTACAATTTTGAATGAAAACATGAGAATGATTTTGCAAATTTTAAAGTTACTAAAACACAGGTTTGAAGTTGTATTAACATTTTCAGATATGAAAAAATACATGTATTTCCATCTTCTTTTTTTTTTTTTCGAGTACAGTGTAGTTTATTTACCAAATTATTTATATTTAATGCAGCACTTAAATCTGTTTTTGCTATCTATATTTTTTTTATTACAAGACAAAGTTTATCTACATCTGAAATATGAAAATTAAAGGACATGCAGCAAGAGGACAGTGGGTCAAATGTAAAATGCACACGAAAAATCTGTATATTTTATTAATAAATGGTTGAAATACACTTCAGAATTATTTAATACTTGAACAGAAGGTCTATAGTGCAAAATTTATTGAGAACATTATTAAACTTATGATAATAAAAGTTAGGAAATCTAAACATTACACTAGGTGGTTAACTTTATATTTGATATTTATGTGTGACTGACTGGAAATAATTCTCCAAAATAACATCCATTTATTTATAAAATAATCGAAAGTAATCGAAAAGTAATTATAATTACATTGAAAATTTTAGCTGTAATCGATTAAATTACGATTACAAGTAATTGAAAATCTCTTCGATTACAGATTACTGTCGATTACTTGAAAAAAAGTAATCATTACAATCGATTACGATTACTCGATTACGATTACCCCATCCCTGCTTCCTTACTTGTCAGAGCCAAGTGGTGCAACAAAAATTGGCTGCAGAGCACCTTTCCCTAACACCAAACTGTTACACTTCTTTCCTTCAAAGACCTTTTGCCAGCTGCTGTAAGTATTCAGAGCGATGGGAGATGCCAATTTGTACTTGATCTGAACCACCAGGTCCTTCAGTTGTTCAAGTTTATCCTTCTTCTCATGACGAACTTGAAGCAACAATGTGAAGTCTCCTTTTTCCAACTTCAGTGTGTACTGTAATTTTCAAGTTTACACACAATGTACCCATTTGTTTATAATAAGAGTGCTACATATTAAATTGTGTGTATATTAAACAGATCAGTATACTTGTATACTGAAACGCAAAAGAAATGCAACATCCTATTTTAGAGGGGAAAATCATATAAAGGATATAATTTTGTATCTAAAAAGTACGGATATCTTCAACATTGTAAGTATCGATAATTTAACGGTTGAATGATTTTTATGCCATAACCGGAAGTTAAGTTTGAGCCCACTGAACAGAAATCAAAAATTGCATGTTTAACAAAACATTTGACAAAAATGTGGGGTTTTAAGGGTTTGTATCTGTTTATCATAAGTAATGCAGCAATATTTCGCAAAATAAATTCTCCTTTCGTTTCTGGAAGATATGCCAAGGCTTCCTGAAAATGACTTAAGTACGCATTTCAAGTGCTCTACTTGGAAAATCTGAAAATAAAGGTAATGGAGAATTGCAGATGCAAAAATGCACGACAACACGCCTCAACAGGCTCATACGTATCATTAGCATGAATGATAGTCCGTGGACCGGAAGTCCAAGTGTTACTACACTGCGCTAGGTTAGAGAAAATTCGACTTCATCATCTGAAAAACAGACATTTAAAAATGGCAAAGAATATTTTTTTCACTCAGATCCCGAGATTGATGAACTTATTGCATCGTGGAAATCAAGCTGCAATTGTTGTGCATGGCAGTCTTCCACGCTATAATTGAATGGCTGAGAAGGGGGGTGTTTTAACAGTTATGTGTTACTTTCTAAAGTTAAAAGGTAATCATTTAACAATGTTAACAAATCTTTGATGGTTTTAAATCGAGTTTAACTTAACTGTAATCAGTTTTGAAAATCATTAGTTAAAAGGTTCAAATATTTGTAGATTACTGCTTGTTGCGTTTCTTTTGCGTTTCAGTATATTTCTTAGTCTGGAAGAGATACCCCTTAAATCCCATTCAGACAACCTTGATTTTAGATATTAAATCTGCAATATTCTCATTTGAATTTATCTGAAAAATTGCTCTGAAAATTTATATTTCTATTTACATAAATGTCATTTTCTGGTTATCTACAAAGTTTGTTAGTAATCTTGTACAATGTACAATTTCAAATGTCTCAATGTAAATTAATGTACAGATCACCTCTAATATGATATTTGTAGTTAATTCTTACTCTGTTGTGGAAGGCATCTCCACATCCTAAATACTGTTTGTTGGAATCAAACAACATCCAAAGCTGACTCTCGTACTCAGACTCGTACAGCAATGGACTAAGGAACGAGCAGTTAGGAGTTACATCCCCTCCCTTGTCCTAAAGGAAAAAGTATTTGCTTAATATGTAAAATACTAATGTACTGGAAGTAAGATAAATATAACCTCTTATTTAAATGTAAATTTAGTACACGTCTTACTAGGTGGAAGTTGTAGGTGAGTTCCAATGCAAATATATGTCTCTCCTCTGGCAGAGTGTCTCTAGATCCTGGTAGAACCTTTATCTTGTATTCTGTTGGCCTACATATAAGTATATAAAAGACTACTGGTACATGTACAATGTTTGCCTTATAATGAATTTTAATCAATTTTATTATACTGTATATTCATTCTCTCATTCAAACACATTGCAATACTCAGTTTGCTTTTCACATCCAGTATTTAAAATAATTTATCATCAGAAAAGAATCAAAATTTCTTATAAATCTTTATAAAAACAATTTCCTTTAGGTTTTAATTATTTAAGGAATATACTGCATTTCAATTCTTTTCTGGGATATCAATTTTGGCTTCATGAAAATTCATGATGATAACCCCACATTTATTTAACATGTCAGATTACCTGAGAGGTTGTACCAGTGTCTTCAGTGATATGGTTGGACTGAGCTCCTCTCTCCTAAGGTTGGCTCTGATATTGTATCTGGCCACTCCATCTGAAGCATGCTGCAAGAACAACAAGGGAATCCAAATGATCCTACTATCTCCTCTTTAATCAAATTGATTTTTTATTAAAAAAAAAAAATCCTACTATAAACCCAATAAGGATAAGTGTTGGAGATCTAAAACTCATTTTGCGTTATGAACTCTATCAGAATTCTGATTCACAAACCTATCTCATTTTATGATTGAAGAAATTTGCTCCTCCAAGAGGAGAAAAAATTATTCTGATTGACAGACACATACCAGAACAGGTTTCTTTACATCCAGTGTGACTCCATGGAATGTTATGCTGTAGTTAAGAGTAACATCCCCTAAATTGGCCCACCATTTGGCTATACACAATTCCAAAGTTCCATTTTCCTGTTAATTCAAAAACTCACAATTCAATTCACAAACATGGTATAAAACTTTACTTTTTACAGGGAGGTAAAACACCCTTTACATCTCAAAATTTTCCTCTAGTGACTTCTAAAAACCATAAAACAAAAAACAAAAAAAAACAAAAAAAAAAACAACAATGAATGATGGTTAAATTTTAAACATGAAATTTTCTTTGAAGCTTGTCTGATCAAAATTTAATTTGCCAGAAGGCATGAAGCTATAGTTACATGTACCTCCACTCTAAATGCATGTTTGGACTCCCCACTATCTGATAATGTGATAAACTTTTCAAACTCAAGTTTGGTGTACTGATGCTGTGGTAGATTTTGTACAGCATGTAGTAGCATTCTGCAGCTCTTTTCTTTATCAGTCGACTCAACATTCAATACTGAAAACAAAATAAACAATTAATGCTTTTTATCTTTCTTTTTCAAGCTTAGTGAAAATGCCTCAAGATTTCATCTTTCTCAAACATATCAAAATTGACTGCAATCATGAAGAAATAATATCGGATGCATAACCACACATCACTACATCTGCTTGTACATGTATGTTACTGCAGTAAAACCACCAGAGTGGGTACATGTACCTACCTGCAATATTTGCACCTGTAGGAACCTTAATGAAATGACGATGGATTTGTCCTGGTTTGAAGAGCATGTTTGAGAAAGATTTCTCCCACTTGATCTCATCATCAATTCTTAAAAAAAAGTGAAAATATTTTGGTTTCAAACATGCGTTAAAAACTTCCTATATAGAACATTCTTCTGGCAGTGTTCCACCTAGGACAACGATAGGGCATAGCACCAATCCTTTTCTAGTGGTGTCTGTGCCCTTTTTACTTTTCCCTTTACATATTTATTACAATGTACTAAAGCTCTGAATTCCAATTTCAACCTCAAGATGGCATGAAGCCATACTCTTCAACTAAACCAGGCACAATATTACAACATTGTAAATTTGCAAAAGATACAGCTGTATATGGCTAAATTTAAAGTTGTAAATGTGAAAACAAATGACGTCACTGACACACAATTTAGTAATTTTATCTGACTACTAAACCAATTTTTAGATATTATTAAAAAGAAATACTCATAGGACTGACAATATGCATCCTTAAGAACAATCGATTTATTCAATTCAATTCAATTCATTGACATCACAATGTTGGCATACAGTCAAAATAAGAAATCAAATGACAGATAACAGAAAAAAAAGAAGAATATTATAACATAATTGCATGCAATTCAATTTTACACAATTCCTTATATTCCTTTTATTTATAATAAAACTTCACTTACTTGCTTGGTACTACCACTGTTATTGGAAATCTGAATACAGGGCCTTTTTCAAGGCACTTCACATCAAAGCCTTTCACCTTTAAATAAATTTATTCCACAATTAAAAAAAAAAAAAAAAGACTGAATTCTGGAAAAGGCAATTGTTTCTCATAGGTAAACATGTAAAAGTTGTGAAGTTCACCATTTCAATGTGCACACTATATATATATATATATATATATATATATATATATATATATATATATATATATATATATATACTTATAATTCGAATACCTCAGTGTAATAAACCCCTTCACTGAGCCCTCTGTGATCCACCTTAACACTGAATAACCTCTCAACATTCATCAATTCTAAGTGGGAGGGGCACTGCACCCAGGAGGCATCACAGTTCAAATTAAACTGCATGCAGAAGTTAATTTTCTCCTCCTGTTCCACGTGGTCCTCAAAGAAATTTGGTGAAATTGACACCTTTGTTTCATAAGGTTTACGGAAGTGATGGGGTTCCCTCAGATAAATTCCTCTCTTTCCATCTGAACTTGAAAGCTTGAATTCTACCTTAACCTCTGGTTCTTTGGCAAAATTGGTCAGAAAATCATAGGCCTTCTCCACCTGCATGTAAATTATGTTATTGTTAAAACATAAACTTCATTTTGGTCATTCAAATCAAATGTTGAAGAAGATTTACACATACATGTGTACATGAAATTTAATTGATATGATACATGCACAGTGTATATGACTCTCCTTCAAGAATGTAAATACATGTATAATTTGTAAACATGTATGAGCATTATTCAGTATGTATGCCTAAGAGTTATTAAGCAACATGAAGTACAAAAAAAAATATCAATGCAGAATAAGAGAAAATATTATTTATATGCAACAAAAAAAAAACATAGTTAAAGATAATTTTTAATATGCATTTCATATTGGACACTGGGGACTGACAATATTTACAGCTAAAATGAAGAAAGGTATCAGCCACAATGAAACATAGTAAAAAAGCATCAGACCTGTTTACCCATATTGTTGTCTTTCAGTATTTTTTATTAGATTTGTCAGTGAAATTTGGCATTTACCCGTAAGATTTTACTTTCCATCGATTTTACATATATTACTAGAGAAACCACCGCGTTTTGGCAACCCAACATCACTTAAGTGTTTGAAATCTTTCTTTTTTTTAGTGATTAAAAAGCGTCAAACTGAGACAGATCATAACGAAAACTATCTGCTAAAATCCAAACGAACGGATTTCGGATTTCCGTATTTTCATTAAAGTAAAACGTGAGAAGTATTTAAGACTCAAAATCCGTACAAAGTACGGCGAAATCGTAAGAGTAAAAGGTCTGAAGCATACATGTAACACCCCCACCCCACCTCCACCCCCCCAAAAAAAGGCCAGGGTGGATATACACTGCAAATTAGAATTTACCTGTATAAGACCATGTCCCAGTGCTTGGACCTCAATGTTTGGCACAGCAGTGGCTGTATTTATCAAAGCCCTCTTCACACTAAAAGGTGAATATTCTATACCATTGGCTTTCAGTCCAGACAGTATAAGTCCTGAAAAGAACTCAGAATTTTAAACAAAAAAATTATATTGTCTCTAAAAGCAAACTATGACTGAAATACTAAGAACTTATTTCAAAGAAACAGTTGTTATATATTCCAGTATGATAAAAAATGAAGTTCATGTTGACCTTCAGTGAAATATATTTAGTTGGTAATATGTCTATGCACTTATTAATTTGATGAGTCAATTGTAGCTGTGGGCACTTTTATTGACAGGTGCATTTAAGTGATTGAGAATCACAATCAAAATAAAATTTTAAAAGGGAAAAAAAATCTTGAGGGATAAGAATGATACTAAATAGAACATAAGTTTGTAAATGTAGAAAAAATCCTACCTATACAACCACAAGCATTTGGAGAACTCATGCTTGTTCCATTCATCAGCTGATTGCCCCTCAGAGTCCAATTTGGAACGCAGGCAATGGCACCCCCCGGAGCACTAATGGTCACTCCCAGATCGCCGTCATGTCTGGTAAATTAAAAGTCATGGCTTTTTTAAAGATTGACTGACATAAAAAAATTTGAGCTTTGAAAAATCTACTTTACTTAGTGTATACTTACGTTGGTCCTCTAGAGGACCATGTGTACTGGTTGCATGGCAGTTTTTCCATGAGGGAGTACTGAGCTGCCATCATTGCTGGAGACACCATGGCCCCTACCCCTGCACAAACACAAATAAAAAATGATCGATTTCTTTCAAACAAAAAAAAAAAGAAAGAAAGATATTTAAGCACTTATAATAATATATCTTTATGCTGTACAGACCTGTAAAGAAAAAAAATTGAGAATAGGGCAGTAACACAATCAAATATCAAAATCTGTTATGTTTTTGCATTGCTGCCAACATCCAGGAACATCATTTAAAATATATAGACTTAATAGAGATATTGCATATCAAATATGAAATTTTGTTATTAAAATACCTTCCATTATTAGAGATTTTATTACTTTTGGACAATCCTTATTGTTAGCACCTTAGAATATTGAATGAACACAAAATTTAAACACCAATACCTATCAATGCATTAGTGGTGCCACCAGGGCACCCAACAGTAGAGAGGGCGGGGCCATTGTTTCCAGCACTGCTAACAATAATCACCCCATGTTTATTCACAGCCTCTGACAATATATCCACCACACGCCTAAATCAATATTGAAATAACCAATAAATGACCTGTCAAAAATAACTGATTTGTAACATGGTGTCTGAAATACTTCATGTAGAAATTTTAAACTATTCCATGAGTGATAGCAAAAGACATGGTATTTCAATTAGCCAGTGGATCATGCTGACAATCAGACACTGCTTATTGAGTGAGATAAGTGACTCACCTTTTGGGGGGAAAGAAAATTAAATATCCCTTTTAAAAGGAAAAAAAAAAGAAGAAATTTCCAAGCTCCATAAAGTAGGACTATATAAAATATTCTTGATCCACTATATATTTTTTCATATAAAAATACATACTGGTATATACATGTAAATGATGCATACCCTGAATCTGGCCAGCTAGCTGCCTCACCATAACTATAGTTGACTAGATCACACTTATATTCTATCACTTTGATCATCTGAAAATACAACAACAACAAAAACTAGAACTGTCCAAAAGGGACAAATACCCCCCGCTGGGTTTTTCAGAGAAAGTACCAAATCACTAATGTTTTGTAGATTTGAGAGGTGTTCACAATTTACTTAAACATTTACAGTGAAAATTAAATTACTCATTATATTTTTTTATACGCCCGTCTTAAGACGGGATGTATTATGTTACAGCGTTCATGTCCGTCCGTCCGTCTGTTAGCTTTTTCATGTCCGGCTCATAACTTTAATACTATTAGGCCTAGAATTATTAAACTTTGTCAGCTGATACATCTAGGGTAGAAGGTGTGTCGCACATTAAAACCAGGTCGCTCTGACCTTTAATTAAGACGCTATGGCCAAATATGGAAAAATCATAACTAGAAAACCATTAGACTTAGAATCAAAAAACTATGTCTTTTAACTTTTAAATTACACAATCCCAAAAGATGTCAGATCAGTATTGCAGTATCTTTATTAAAAAAAGTGTTTAATCAAGAAAATACTAGTCTTATTATTTTCATTATGTTCTTTACAGCAGTCTGTAACAAGAAAAATTCCACCTCTCCCATGGGTGTAATGATCAGGCACTGGTCAAGGAAAATTTTGATAGCAGAAAATTACATGTCAAATTAGAGATAAATTAATGAGTTTAGTGTGAGGAGATAACTGGTAGAGCATCTCTGATCAAGCAGGTGTTATCTACATCTCTTGGGAATTGGGCAAAAGGAATCAGTCTCTTAATTAATTGCTTGTGTTGTATTGAATTGTTCTTGTTGGCTAGTCTTACTTTCAAGATAAATCTGATGTAATTAAAACTATTTTGATATTGTATATAATAATTAAAACTTATATGATATTGTATAATATAATTTAAACTAATTATTTATTGTACGTTTTTTATTTTAATTTCTATATCTTTACAACAAATTGCAGACTGCCTTGTCTCGCTAAGATGTCATTCGAACAATTGAATCTAAACTGTTTATGATAATTTAACAATATTTGATGGGCATATCATGCTGTGGTGGGGCACTTTATTTAATGAATGAAACTAAGGTGCAGCCTAATAAAACATCAATACTAATAATTACAGTGTTTTTTATTACATTGAAAAAATAGTTTGCAACTATCTGTCATCTTTGTGAGACATGACACTGCAAATTGATCGTTGAAAAAAAAATGATCATAATTAATTATACAAAATCAAATTGATCTTAATACCTTTATATCAAACTCATTTTAAAAATAAAAGGCTGGTTCCAGTAACTATGTATTTTGACAGACATAAATTACAATTAAGAGACTTAGACAACAGAGATCTTTATTTCTTTCTGCCCAATTCCCAGGAGATATAGATGATAAGACCTGCTTGATCAGAGATGCCCTAACAGCTTCCCACACTGAACTCATTAATTAATCTTTAACTGGATGCATGTCCACTCATTACTCCCAAGGGACAAATGGATTTACACTATCTGCTGTGTAATGTAAAAACTGTTTTTAATACTTTGTGATTTTTTTTTAGTTCTAATGAGTTGTTTTAAGCTGTAGTTCACATATTTGTACAGATGTTCTAGATTCTATGTCTCACACCTTAGACATGAACCCGAAATGACTAAGTCAATAAAAATGAAAAAAAAAACACAACTGTAAAATGCAGAAAAATTATCAAATAATGTTGAAAATACCAGGTGCACATCTTCATATGGTAAATAATAAGTGTACAAATTTTCATACAAATCTATGCAATAGTCTCTGGGAACAGATCCAGACAAAACCATAAAATAAAAATGAAAAAAACACCTGTAAAATGCAAAAAAATTATCCAATCATGATGAAAATATCAGGTGCACACCTTCATATGGCGAATAATAAGTGTACAAATTTTCAGACAAATCCTTGCAACAGTTTCCAAGAAATGGTCCGGACAATGTCTCGTCTACAGACAGACGGACAGACAGACAGACGCACAAACTGATTCCAATATACCCCCCCCTAAACTTTGTTTGCGGGGGGTATAAAAATCATTATATTACAATGTACCACTGTAAAGTATTTTCTTAAGAAATGCTCTGTGTTTATAAAAGATATTTCCCTTTCAAATCAAATAATAATTGTTTTTTAACTTAAAAATGTCTAAGCGAATATACTTACAGCCCTGACTAGTGAGGTGCCAGTCTCCATAGATCCCAGCCTTGTGTCCCCTATTTTAATGGATATAATTTGTGCCCCAGGGGCTACTCCATTTCTCTCTGGTTGGTCAGGGAAATATCCAGCTGTAATCCCTGCCACATGGGAAGCATGGGCCCCTAAAATAATAATAAAAAAAATTGTAAAGAATGTGCTATAACAAATTATATGTATTGAATAATTTCACTGTAAAAAAACAAAAAAAATCTGTTATATAACCCATATTCCATATACTAAAATTATAATTGAAAAAAAAAAAATTTGGTACATATAGATGCAGATGAACATTTAATTTATATTCAATGTTTCTAGAATAAAACATTCTGAATGCCTACCAAGTTGCTGAATATTATGTGAGGTGTAATAATTTACATGTATTATTTAGATGCACTTGGTGAAAAATTATGTTGAGATGACACTTCAACTCTGTTGAAATCAATTTGGATACTGCTCCCTCTGCTCCTGGGTGTACTGAGATATGTATAACACATTAAAAGTGTATATTTACTGCACACAAAGAAGTGAATTAACACAGCTCTCTGTACTTTTTAGATCCTAAATGTATATCATGCTATCATTTACTGGGTGTTCCTAATAGACCTAACATATTTAAAACATATTCTTTGACTACTACTAATACAACAACAAAACATTCCCTGTTTATAATAGCTAGCTTTCCTGGACCTGAAATTATGACCATTGAAAAAAATTTGCCTGTTTAAATTCATACTACCATTTTAAGTGTGAGTGGTACATATACATAAATGAAATATACACTTTTTTTAGAATGCATGGCACAGTTGCTTTCTGGTTATACATTGTATCCATTGCAATTTATTTTTACAGATGTCATCATGTGCTGCAGATTTGCAGCTGATACACATGGTGGTCAATCCCTGTATATATCCCATACCTCCTGACCAGACCTTAGTATAGCTATTATAACTTCTTTTTTATAGGTCTAAATTTAAATATAAAATACAAGGGCTAGTTATACCTGCATTTGTGACAATTTCAAGGGTGTTCCCATCATTATAAATATTGACAGTGTAGTTCATCATGTCTATCCGACTGAAGGTGCCGAACTCTTGTTCTTCATGGTAGCTGGCCAGCAGTTTACATTCACACAAGTCTCCCCTTTCTGTTGTGTCCACACAGGCTCTGCAGATAAACACTAGACTTTCAAATTCTGCTAGGTATTAACTTTAATTCAACTGTGTTTATAAGTTTGCTGAGAAAAAAAATTATATATGTTTACTCTTATTGAGTAAACAAGCGCAAATATTTGGTACCAAATCATCGAATTGTCAATTTTACACTGATTATAGAATCTGAAAAACGTTTACTTTTGACAAAAACATTATTGGAGGAAATATATTTCACAATTTTAAGTTCTGTATTTTCCAATCAATTACTTGAAAAATAAGCTCCACATCATTGTTTTTAATCAAAGTAATAATTTGCTCTGGATTATTGTAGACAAACCTCCAAGATGATCCATCATGGAAAACAACACAGTCATAGATAGGTCCACAGTCACTGTACTTCTTCTCCAAACTGTTCAGGATATCAACATAACTCTGGAGATTTTCTTTTTCCAGCTTATCGTCCTGAATAAAATTGATCAAATTACTCGTACATCTTTGTCAATGACATCAATGCCAATTAAACACCAGGGGCCCTCTTAACAAAAGAACTTACGTCTAAGACCAAAAATTAATTCTGCTTATAAATTTCTAATTTACATTAAATTGAAAATGGCTATAATCTTTTAATGTTACTACAGCAATTTTAAACAGAATCATTAATTTTGAAAAATTTTACAACCAACTAAAGTTTTTGGTCTTTGTCGTAAGTTCTTTTGTAAAACAGGCCTCAGGAACCTTATTCACAAAGCATCCATAATTTACATTTCTGACAGTGTCATAAATGCAAATTTTGTGGATTTATACTGATTGACTTTTTATGATGAATTTAGAATGAAGCCTAAAGTGGCAGAACTGTAGTGTGCAGAACATGCATTCAAGACAAAAAGACACAAATGAGAGTAACAAGTTTGTAAAATCTTGTAATATAGTGTGTATCAGAATGGGGGGGGGGTGTAAATCTGGGCCCCACACTCATCTTCAATAAAAGTTCACGTTCCAACAGCATTTAATCATCATGATCTTATATGTTTCTGTAATGTCAATTAAAAACTCACATTTCAATGAATAAGCACTTTCATGCTTAGTTCTGTTGAAATTGAAAGTAAGATATAAAGAAGTTAAAACAACAAATTAAAACAAAAAGAAACTTGTTGTTTTTCTAGATTACCTTGCCCATCATAAATTTTACTCATGCATATATCTGACACTCTGTATTGTGACTGACTCTTGCTGGTGTGTTAAAAAACATCAACATTTGCAAACAGTATATTTGTTTACTACCTAAATATTGATCAAGGATGCTCTCCAAGACAACCCACTGACCTGGTTTGAAGTAGATGCCTCGTACTGTTCAAGTTTTCTTGTGGCCTCAGCTATAGCCTCTCTGTGTGCTGGGTTCCAGTTTTTCTCTTTCCTTTCTTTATTGAGTCTATCCTGGAGCTTTTTTGGAAACAAATCATATGCAGGCTTCACTCCTACATGATATAACCCAGAGGGATTTGTCCAAGTGTCTGGAATCTATGTTGATTTATCCAAAGGAAAATATACATATGATTAAGTTAAACCATTACTCAAAGGCTCTTTCATCTATGTTGATTTAAAAAGTACATGAATGTTGCCAATCAATGGTATAATTACTAAATATATTTATTAAGGATGACAATTTAGTAACAATTTCATTGGTTACTTGGCTGGAATGATAGTAATCAATTGCAATTTGTAATTTGCTATTCAAAAAAATTTACCGTTATACTCACCTATAAGTCGTTTTTTTGGGAGTTAAACTTTGGTCCAAAACTCTTTATCTGACTTGTACGCGAATTATAAAAAGAATGGTATTTTAGTGGGTCAGTCCCTCTAATTTAAGCTTAAAAAATACAACCGACTTATAGGCGAACCGACTTATAGGTGAGTATATACGGTAATTATGTGTACATTTGAATGCAATTTCATTAAAAGATTGCTCTCAGATTCAATTGAAAGAAAAAGAATGTTGATTAGTTAATGTTCACAGACATCAAATTAAATTAATATGGAGATAATTAAGACTCTCCACAATGGAGATCATTGGAGTGTACATTGTACCGGTAAATGGTAGGGTTTCAGAAGTGTTTATTACTGTTTTAACACTGCATCTGTTTGTCCGGGATTCTTTTTTTATTAGTAAAAACACTAATGAGCACTGTAAACATTAATGTTTACATGCAACTACCTGCTTACCCTATCTATCCTCTGCAGTTGTTGATCAAATTATATTTTCAAACAAAAAAAAGTTTCAAGGCTTTCTGTTTTTTCTTGCTTATTAGGATTGAAATACATTTCATCTATATCGTTCTGATAGAATATGCAAAATTAATTTTACCTACATATGTCTTTTTTTTTTTTTAAATCTTTGTGTGACTATGAAAAGGGCTGTAAAAGCTTTCCATACAAGTATGTCAAAATAAGTGTAAATGTATTTTGAAACATCTAACTGGTTAATCAAATGGAACATGTTGTGGTTAACCGATTGGTAATTCTGCAGTTGGTTGCCATGCATCCTTAATATCTATATCTATTTCATACCTTAAGTTTCCGTCCAGTAACACCTGTAACTTCTCCATCTTTAACCTCTTCAATTCTAGAGGTGTCAACATCACCTGATCCTGTTGTGTCAATTAAGTCAATGATTTTTGGGCTTCCATCTGGTGTTGTCTTAAAAGTGATAAAAGGTTCATTATTTCTTTTTCATAAGTTTAAAACGTACTTAAAATTTAATGTGTTTTTGAATTAAAAGAAAGGAGGGGGATGTCCAATGACTAGCCCCTGACTAGTCCTTTATCTTTTTATGAAATTTTAAAATGAAAATGCATGTGTATACTTTATCATGTTGATATTATATAGAGTATTGTAGATTCCTTGATATTATACAAATGAGAAGACAATTGCATACTTTGCAGAAGTGCTTATATGTGATTCATGACATATGCTTTGGTGAAAAATTTTGATAATGTTCTTAGAAGTTACAAAAGTAACAAAACTGAAATAAATTATTAAATAAATTTTTCAAGCTTTTTTGATTGCCTGCAGATGATCACAGTTGAATTCATCTTAGGCATCCAGCACATATACCAACAGGTCTGCCATTTTTTATTTTATATCATGTTTATATACTAAATTGTTATTTATTATTTTTTCTGTACAATCTTTCCAGATAAATGTGTTACTAAATGTAACAAAAAATTCTCCTATACGTTTCCAGAATTTTTTTAATTTATTTTACAGCAAAAGTAACCTATATTAAAGTTAATTCATTAAGAAATGTTTAAGAAAAATAAATACAAATGTTTGGCAAAGTCAAATTTGATATATTCAAAGGCATTTTGACATTTTTGTATATTTCTGTGCTTTTTCATAAGAAGGTTAGGGAAAAAAAGGAATTTGATTTTTCTTGCCTCATGATTATCCCCTTTAAAGGGAATTAGTCAATTATTTGTATACATTATTTTAGTCATTATTCCACACATATCCTTTATATTTTACATAAGAGACTTATGAATATGAGCTTAGAGAGACAAAGAATATTTAAAGATTACATAAGGTTATAGAATGAGTATTTTTCAAGAATATACAGAGTATAAAAATGTTCTTTTAAAGTATATTACAAGCACCAATAAAAACAAAATCATATTAATGGTGATGTTCCATTGTTAAAATTAAAACCCACCCCAAGGCTCGAAAATGAAACCTGCAAGGATACATGTGTAAAAGTACATGGATACCTATACACACATCCTATTCAAAACTTATTGTTCGGATAATATATAAACATAAACTAAGTTTCCTTGACTACAACACAATAGTGACTTTCCTCCAACAATCAGCTATGATGCGATGAATTTAAAGAAAGGTAGCTTTGTCAATAAAAAGATCGAGTCATAATCATGAAAAAAACATATGGGGTTTGACTGAAAGATAGGCATAAGTCATAAGAGAAAATCATCTACACATAAAATATTGCAAGTCATTGTCCATCAACTTCTGACAAACTTGAATTGAAACGTTTCATTGTGGAGGGGGTACCTGTAATCCAGAGGCTCCTGGATCTACACCTGTGTCTAAAATAGCAATAAGAACACCTCTTCCGTCATAGTTCGGATACTTTGTAAGAAATGAATGAGCACCAGTCTCTTTTTTAGGTAACAAGCCTTCCAAAGGAAAATCTTCAGCGACCTCGGACGCCATTCTCGCAGACGAATTCTCCTGGTCTCCAAAGCGT